TGCTATGAAAAAATTAGACATTTTTGAGGCTTCTGAGGCCTGGCAATCCATAACATCAGTGGAAACAGTGGTAAATTCAACATATTTGAGAACCAGGATGGGTTGATTAAATTGTTTCTTACATTGTGCTTTGTATCAAAAATGTAGCTGCTGATTTCCCTGGATGGCACATAGAGAAAATTTTACTTTGACAGTGGGGAAGCATCAAAATTCCTCTAAAGTTAGGACAGAAAATGTTCACTAATGCAGTACTGAGAGGAAAAAAAGTCAAATGTTTTTGCCTTCTGCTGCCCAAATCTGTCCAGACTAAATTTCTTTCTGTAAAGAAAAATTTAGTCCGCTCCTTAGCAGAGGCCTTGTGTGAGCTATGGAGAGCAAGTCCACCTAAAGGATTTTGCCTCATCCCACCAAGTGGGTGCATTGCCCTAAATGCATAGCTGGGTTACACTTATGGGTCTGGAAACCTCCACTAAATTTGGAAGTGCTGTTCAGATTACATCCTCCAGCTGCTGAAGAGATTTTTTTACAAACAGTTGGCTACTCAAATACCTTCTGCCTCCCTAGACACTGCCTCTGTCTCAGCTTTCAAGTCCAGCCAGCCCTATCTCAGTCATTGCAGTTTGATTCATACCATCTATATCTCGTAGTGCTCCTAGCAATTGATAAATTATGACTCCAGTGAGACTATTGGGTTAAATGCTAAGGAAGAAAGAATGATGACAGTAATACTTGTCATTTGTGTGGCCATGTAGCAACACAAAACCTCTCTCAAACATAGGGTAGCTTGGAGGAGCCTTTCCAGGGGATAGGCTTTCTGAGAAATGTTTATGGCTTTTGAATACATGATAGACATGAACTTGACATGACCTACTTGGCCAAGCCCTGAGCTTCAGCCTGGTCTTTTACCACCACAAATCAGTGTATTCGAAGTATAGCCAGACTCATATCTTCACTGGGATGGCAAGGTTATAGCACATAGCTGCTTGAGAAAAGACAGGATGGAGGCTGCTTTGTTCTCAGGATTTAAAGACTTGCAAATATTTTTACTAATGTTATAAGAAAATGGCTATGTTCTACCCATACAAAAAAGCCAACATAGGCCCTGGGATGAATAAAATATTTGACACTTGACTGAAATGAGTACATTAACATTTTTCTAGTATACACAGATCCCTCCTTTATCTTGGCATTGGAAAATGCAAGTTAAAGCAGAGGTTGTAAAGGCTTTCTACTAAATATCCTAGACACGAGAGTTGCTTTTTCCTCCTGACTTACCACAGCATCATGCTGCAGGATTTTCTGCTGCTTCATCTCAGCCTTCATACCATCCTCTCAATTTGATCTTGTATCAAGGTAATGTTAAATTGTCAAATTACGCTGACTTTTCATTTTGTGGTTTAATTAAATATCGTGGAATTGGAGAAATTGGATAAAAGGTGGCATATGTTTCCAAGGACTGAGACACCTGTAAAGGAACCTGAAGTCTCTAAAGGCCCTCTCCCCAGCATGGCACTGAATAGCACCAATTCTGTTACAGATAAAGCTGCAGTCAGTGAATTAACTGAAACCCAACCAAAGGTGTATGCAGTCCATAGGGGCATTCCCTACTGGGCAGATGGGAATCCTAGTCAGGAAGGAGATGTTATCTGGGACCTCTCACAGGGCCACTTTCCTTTCTTCCTGGGATAGTTGATATATAAGGAACCATTGACCTGGTTGCTCTCATCACCCAACTGCAGCAAAGCCACTAACACATCTCAGTCCAGGAAGGTGGCTACAGGGGCAGGCAGGGATGGTGGCACAAACAGCCTGTGTCACACTCTGGGTCACTCTGCATCATCAGAGTGACCTGCTTGCAATAGGCCTCTGGTTGCAATCCCCCTGCTAGTTGTAATTAAGGAATTCTATTGCATAGTACAGATACAATTACAGTTGCAGTACCTGCTAATTCAAAATTAATATAAACATAATGGCAAAATTTCTCCTATGTAATTGAATAATTACCATAATACAACTCCAGTAGAGGAAAGATCAGGAATGTCTCATGTCATCATCATCCAGAAACCAGCATTTTAAAACTGTATTGCCTGTTCTTACAACACACATCTTAGAAACAGATCCACTACAAAAAGTCAGTATAGAAGAAGTGAGCTGAGAATCATTAAAAACATATTTTTTAAATTAACAGCCATCACATTATTACAAATAACCTTTTTCCTTTCACACTAATTTTTTTAAATCTATCCATGTTCATTATAAAGCATTAAACATTATATAGCATTGTTTTCTTTAAACATGTCATTTTAGTAATGACACTTGCATGCATAAATTTAGTGAGTTAAGATGATAGACTGATGCCAGAACTGAATACTCACTTATTCAGAAAAAAAAATGTTTTTCTGTCTGTAAATTTTCTATGTAAAGCCATTCTTTTTTCAGTGAATTCAATATTCACCATATTAGTTGAATAGTCCTACTGAGGCCTCTCTGATTTTGAATAATTCACAGCCTGTTAGTTACAGTCATTTCACATTTGAAATGTGAACTCTAGTCCTTCCTTTTTATTGGATGTAGACTTTACACAAAATGATGCTATTCTCCAGTTAAAAAAATGTGACCAGAATGAAAATGAAATAAGTTATAAGTTATGAAATAAGTTATGCTCCCTTTTAGAAACAAAACAAAACAGTCTTTGAAGGAGCCCTTTTCCTTAGGTGCACTATATGACACAGTTATCTGCCCAGCTCCTGTGAGGCTTAGGAAAGCAAGGCTGACAGCAGCCTTCAGTCCTCTGAGGTAATAGGAAAATCAAAGTATTTATACAGTGGAGAGGGCAAGGGAGAAGGATAACAGGCAGTACTGAATAAGAAAAAACCAAAACAGTTTAAAGCAACTTTACAGGGAGTGAGAAGTGGCCTGGAGTGGCCATTAGACACACTGCAAGGAATTAAATTAGGTACATCAAAAAGGGGGAACATTTGCTGCAGATACTATGAGTTGAGAAGGATTGGAGAAAGTTGTTATTCTTGAAAATACTTAATGAACTGGCACATGGCCCTGTGATCAGGGCACAGGAAATCCAAGCCCCATTTCTGCTGCAGATCTCCTGTGTGGGATCAGAGAGGTGTCCAAGATCACCAGCAGGAGCCAGGCAGGGCTGGCACAGGGGACACTGGGGCGGCCAGTGTCAATGCAGCAATCAAAATCAATGGCAAATGCCTGTTCCAGTAGGGAATTCCTCCATGCCCCCTCGTGCATAAAGCCATCCAAAATGGACAAGAACATCTGCTTTTGTTTTCCCAGTAAAAGCTGACACTGGAGGAGATATGCGCATTTTGGAGGGGAGCACATTCCACAGTGGAGCTCTTTGTAATGCTCTTGTAACAATGCAAGACCATTCTGGGAACATCACTTGGTGAAAGCTTACTGTACCCAAGAGGCCAGAGCTGCCATGGAGGTGGCAGGAGAAGGTGTACTGAAATGACAGAGGGCTCCTCTTGGCAACTGGGTGGCAAGGCAGATCATCTCATGCATGGCAGAAGGGTGACTTGTAGGGACCGTTCTGTGGCCTGACACTTCCCTCCTTCTTTTCTCTGGATATTTCAGGGAATTAGTTACTTCATTTGCCCTTCAGCAAGGCGCATATTAATATGAAGGGGCAATGAGATCCTACAGCAGAGTAGTCTTCAGAACCTCTTGCTTGGTCTTTGTGCTTGCAAAATAAAATTACACCAAAATGTGAACTTAGGGCTAGAGAAAATATCTGGATGGAAAACTAGGAGAACATTTCACCACAGTTGGTGTATGAAAAGAAATGGTCAATGAAGGTGCTTGAACTTAAATACAACCTATTTGTTAACAATAGATATGTTCAGCAGAAAGATGCAAGATTTCAGGTTTGCTGTCCTGGACTGTTTTACCCCAAACCACCCCTCAAATCATTTATGTACAAGACATACTTCAGGCAGTGCCAGAGCAAGGCTTTGACTCACTTACTACAACTTCACCCATGTCCTAGACAGGTGCTTCTGTTCTAAGGCTCATGAGTTGACAGACTTCCTACTATCTCTGTAATACAGATATTTGGGTCATTTTTAGCGCCTGCAAGAAAAGAATAATATTTTCTTAGAACAGAACCCTGGGAAAAATGTAATTTTTATTACCCTCTTAAAAAATCCTCCCAACAGCTCAAATCTACAGCTGTAGAGGAACCACTATTTCAAAAGAAATGTATCATATGGAAACAAAGTAATTCCAAAGATAAAGTGATGCCTAAAAGAAGTGTTTCTCCTTGTAACTGAAGTACTTGCTTCAAGATTAGAAATGGGATAGCTCTTGGAGGGAGCAGAGAGGAAAGGAATGCAAATTAAAACAACTTACTAAAAAAAATTAGTCAATGCTCATATAAATGCTCAGCTGGAATCACTGTAACTCATCTACATTTTTCTAACATGAGCATTTCTCATGAGGACAACCAGTATGGCCAGTAAATACCATTGGAAAGAACTAAACTACTTGTTACACAGTTTTCCCCATTGAAGTTGACAATTAATAGCTAACCAGTGAATAAGATTTTGCATGACCAATTCTATTCAGTCCAGATCAGTTTGTTGAGCAAATCAGAAGACAAATCAGATTAAGTATATATAAGAAAGCCCTAGTTACCTGGTTAAAGGAAAATCTCAGTATACCAGGTTAATTCTTTGTTTCTACACCCTTTGAGTAGATATATTTAAACAAGACATTTTCCATAGCATTACCTCTTTCCATGTGAAAGCAGAAGCCTTGTGCTGGCACATCAAGGGCTGGGCTTTTTCTCTGTGCTAATAATAGCATTTAGAATTCCAGACAGTAGTAGGAACTTCCCCGTTTCCTATGAAGAAAATAATCTTTAAAAATATAATGAAGTTTTAATCAACTTTTTGTCAAGGTAGGAGGAAGAAAGGAACCTGTCAGAAATATCTCTGGCTGGTGATGAATATGTTCTCTCACCTTTCAGGATGGCCTGGGACTCCTTGTGCAGCCAGGACTTACGGCGGCCTAGGATAAGAAGTGCCTCAAGCGGGATGCCCGACAGTGGGAGCAGCACTGGGACACCGTCCCTGGAGGAGCTGCGGCGCCTGCTCTGCACACGCACACACCCCACAGGGCACGTGGATGAAGTCTGGCCAAACCTTTATGTGGGAGACCTGTAAGAGACAGGAAGGGCTGAAGGTTATTGCAACTCTTCCCCCAAATCTTCCACTCTTTATTTAAAAACAGAGAGCTAGGCAGTAATCTGGGACCTCTCACAACAGATCTAAGTGTTGAACAAGATTGAACTATGCATAGGATGCTGTAGCATAGAGAAAATGCATCCCAGCTGACTAAATATCTCCTGCCTCCTGGTTTCTCCTCCTGCATTAGTGCAGGAGTGACACACTGCAGCAGCCCACTGGAGCTGTGGCATTGCTACTTCAGGCAGTCATGCCAAATCTGGGTGAAACAGGATCGAGCTCATTTTTCTCCTCCTCACTTTGCCAGATGGCATCAGTCCTCTGAACTGATGAATACTCAGCAGAGGTGACTTGGTGAGAAAGTCTTTGAAATCAGAAAACCCTTAGCTTGTGCAGAAATATCTCCACCACCACCTTTCATCAGCTGAGAACCATCTAAACATACGTTTGGGAAAAAACTGAGGGAAATCTAAGAGTTAGTTTCTTAACAAGTCATTTCTGTCTTAAAGCATTCTGATGAACACTTTGAACCTGATCAACCTGTCAATAAAATAGCCATTACCACTTCCTGCAGTTGTAACAAACTCCCCATCAGCAGCATGTTCTTCCCTGCTTTGCAATGCAGCAGGCAAATCTAATTCCCCATCTTTCCACCAGGTACGTCGCTCGCGACAAGGCGCAGCTGAGCCGCCTGGGCATCTCCCACGTGGTGAACGCCGCTGCCGGGAGGTTCCGCATCAACACCGGGCCCAAGTTCTACAGCGACCTGCCTGTGCATTACTACGGAGTAGAAGCAGAGGACAACCCCAACTTTGATCTTAGCATTCACTTCTATCCAGTTGCTCACTACATCAGAGAAGCACTGAATTCCCCAAGAGGTAACTAGACCATCTGTGCATGTTGCATATTTTCTGCATAGTAGATAAGCAGGGAAAGGTATTAAATATTATTTAACATAGACCAACTCACCTGCATGTGGGTAAGAATGGAGCCATCCAAACAAAGTAGCATCCTACCTGCCTCCTCAACTCCTACTGGTAGTTCTGTTTCACTGAAACAGGGAAGGATGCACTAAACAGGCCTTTAAAGGGGTTTTCCCTATGCCTAGTGTTATTCATCAGCAAAAGACAAAACAGCAAGTGTCCTTCATTACCTACAGTGACACACTGCCCTGGGAAGAAGCACATTATTTGATATTTTCAAATTAGTGATGGGATTTAAAAAAAGACAAGGGCAAGTGTAATATTTGAGTATGAAGATTCAACTACAATGCTACAATCTGTGCAAGTCCTACAAACAATAGGGAAGAACTTACAAGAAAGCAATTCTATAGAAGGGAGCAAGCAACAGCACCAGCCTAGAATAATGTCATGCTGTTGCTAGAAAATAGGAAGACAACCCACTAAATCCTTAGATTCACTAAATACGTGCCAGGTGCAACACCAGAGGTTTGGGGCCAATGGGAGATCATTATTATTAAGGGCAAGCCTTCACAAAAGCAAGTCATCGCTGTGCCATAAAACTGTACAGATACTACTCAAAAGTAAGTGATTTAATAACAGTTGCACACTCAGTAAAACTGTTTGCTTGCATCATGGTGAGCTTTAATTGCAATCGGGTTCCTAAAGTACTAACTACCCAGCTTAATTGTATGCATTGGTAGATCTGATCCACACCCTACTAGCCACGAAGGGGAGGCACAGTAACTGCAAACAGTGTACCTTCATGCTAGGTACCTGTGCATTTCCTGCTCTTTGGAGGGCTTGTTCTGTTCTGTTAGAAAATATTTGCCCTTGTGCAACTTAGGGCTGCATTTGGGGAATTTGGATTTTCACCCATTTTTATTACATCATACGCTATTTGCAATTGAAGTCATTATTGGCAGTGCTCCAGAGAAAGGTAAGATCCAAAATCTATTCATGTGTGTAAAAGCAAAGTTCCAAGTCAGTTGACTAAAGACAGAAAACAGCAGATGAATTGTAGAAGCCACAATAGCAAACAAAACTAGTGCTTTGCAAAATGCATGCCGAAATACTAAGTTATGAATGCAGAACAAGTTACAGCTCAAGGCATATTTATCCCTGCTCCCATGCTTTTAGTATTGCTTTACTGAACTCCATATGGAAGTAGAGTTCTGGGAATGGAGACAAGGTGAAATTTAATCATACACTGTCCAGCTGTTGCTGACATTCATCATTTTGAGGAAAGAGCAACAGTTTAGAAAATATATAAACAAGATGTTCTGGAAGCATAATTTTCTGAGGTACAGAAATTTAGCAGCTAAATACCCATGACCTGTGCAGGGATGAGACAGGGAGGGGATTGTTATTCACATCATTTAGAAGAAGAAAAAAAGTGGTGTTTATTATAAACAGTGAAATTGAGCAACAAAACAAAATATACCAGGTGACAAGAGGCCTGTCCATATTAAATACAGGATGTAACAAGGTACTACTGCTTGGTTGCTGCTTAACTGTTACAAGCAAATTCAACATCAATTTTTTTCTTTAACATAAATATATTATCCTTTTTACCTAAGAGGAAGTCAAAGTTAAGACTGTATGAGGCACAAATATATTTAAACCTAAGAATCAAGTACTCATTAGAATTAGATAAGAACTGTTATTTCCATCATGTTTGAAAAAGAAATCTGATGCTTTACACCACAAGTCCAGAAAACAGCATAGACAGATTTATTCCAGATTTCTACCTTAGCTGGGCAGAATATTATCTTTGATGATGTTAGGAGTTCATTTTTAAGGCAGTTTCTTAAAACGGAGGTGTCAGAGCGTGAGCAAAAGAGACTCAAAAGAGACTTGCTCCTACTTGGGAGCTGTTCCTGTCATAGTGGTCAGTGGCTGCATTGCACCCTGACTTCCTTCAGAGTCTTTGTTGCAGAAATTAGACAACATGTGCACTACTATTGCAGCCATGCCACATCAGCATTATTTTATGATCCCTACTTCCTTGACTGCCTTTCCTTCAGCACAGCCTGGCAGTTTCTTTGCCATGTAACAGAGCTGTTTGGGAAGGCTCAGACGAGAGCGAACAGATGCACAATCTGTCCCCTTTCCTACAAGGAAAAACATGGAGTTGGGAAAGTACTAGCCTTCTCCCTCGTGGTCAACCTCAAAGGACAACACCTTGAATATCAATCTTGACCCTTTGAATGGCCACCTGTGCAATTTGCATTTCTCTAGAATGCAGCTAAACCTGAAGTAAATCAGCAGGGCTTTGTGAAGTCTAACAGAAGAAGGAGGGAAAGAGAACTTGATGAAAGCATGTCATGAAAACTATTAAACTAAGACTGTGCTGAGAGGAAGATTCCCAAGTAGAGAGCTTTGCCTTTTATTGACCTCTGAACATGTTTAAAACAATCAGATTAAAACCACCCATCAAAATCTTGAAATGGCAGACTCTCAAAGTCATTTCCCTTACTCCACTTCAGTAGAGCAAACGAAAATCTAGGCTCCCTCTCCTGTCACCTTCTCGTTGTGGGAGTTACGAAAGCTGCTTAACTTTGGAGAAAAGGGTCTTCTTGCTTGCCTCCACTCTAGGTGCATTACATACAGCAGTCTGACCTCCCACTCTGCAGCAGATGACAGCTCTTACCTGCTCTGACTTGCCACTATTTAAAGCTCTCCGTAGGCTTCTTGCTATTTTCAGCTGTGACAAAACAGATACTGGATTAATCAGGAAATAGGCAGTGGATTCTGCACCTGGCTAAAACCTAACAGGAGATGAGAAAATAGTAGAACAAGCCTCTAGGGCCCATTAGCCAGCTGAGCTCTCCTGCTGAGCAGAATACTTCAGCTGGATCCAATGAAGTGAAGGCAGCTGGGACATTGACTATGGGTGACAGATCTGGAGCCTCATCTTAAGCCAAATTGAATCCATCCTGCAAGAAAGCAAGGGCTAGTTTAGGACATTTAGCTCACTTAATGATGATTAGCAAAAGGACAATAAGTTATTATGTGTTTTAATGACTGATCTTGTTCAACAACATTGAATTTCCTAACTTGAATTTGGCCAACAAAGTTGAATGTGCAAACTTTATCCCTAGTACAAACCCTTTGATGTTAGTAGAGTTACAGCAGGCATGAGCTGGATAGAATATCCATAATCCGCTGTTAAAAAGCAAGTATTATTGTTCTGCACAAATCCCAGACAGATGACAGTTATTGTCTGCCTCTGCAAAAAGTAGCTTGAGATGTGTGGTGCAAAATTTCAAATAAGGATTGCAAGATTTAATAATGCCAGAAGCTAAGCGCCCCTACTTCTCCTCAGTTAATCCCATTATTCCTAAGGGATCCTGTTTCATGCTCCGAGAGGAGGTTGCAACATGGTCCCCTAATGTGGGACCAGTCCAGCTTCTTTTTGCACTGTATGTTAAATCAGATGGGGGTGGGGAAGACAGAGTTGGAAGCTGACAGCTCATGGTAGGGATTCTGTGGTGTGGGAGATGTGGTTATAACCTCCTTGCCTACAACACGGCAAGGGAGCTCTGTGAGCGCTGCTCCCCGTGGCTGTGCTCCAGCAGCCACCCAGCAATCCCAGCCTGAGTGCTGGGACCTCTCAGCTGCCTCCTGCGTGGGGCCAATGGAACGGCTGGAATCACCCACCACAGCCAGCCCACCACAGCCAGCCCACGAGGGAGCAGCTGGAATCACCCACCACAGCCAGCCCACGATGGAACGGCTGGAATCACCACTGCAGCCAGCCCAAGATGGAACAGCTGGAATCGCCCACCACAGCCAGCCCACGATGGAACGGCTGGAATCACCCACCACAGCCAGCCCACGATGGAACGGCTGGAATCACCCACTGCAGCCAGCCCAAGATGGAACAGCTGGAATCGCCCACCACAGCCAGCCCACGATGGAACGGCTGGAATCACCCACCACAGCCAGCCCACGATGGAACGGCTGGAATCACCACTGCAGCCAGCCCACGATGGAACGGCTGGAATCGCCCACCACAGCCAGCCCACGATGGAACGGCTGGAATCACCACTGCAGCCAGCCCAAGATGGAAGGGCTGGAATCGCCCACCACAGCCAGCCCACGATGGAACGGCTGGAATTGCCCACTGCAGCCAGCCCAAGATGGAACAGCTGGAATCGCCCACCACAGCCAGCCCACGAGGGAACGGCTGGAATCACCCACTGCAGCCAGCCCAAGATGGAAGGGCTGGAATCACCCATCACAGCCAGCCCACGAGGGAATGGCTGGAATCACCACTGCAGCCAGCCCACTATGGAACAGCTGGAATCGCCCACCACAGCCAGCCCACGATGGAACGGCTGGAATCACCACTGCAGCCAGCCCAAGATGGAACAGCTGGAATCGCCCACCACAGCCAGCCCACGATGGAACGGCTGGAATCACCACTGCAGCCAGCCCAAGATGGAACGGCTGGAATCGCCCACCACAGCCAGCCCACGATGGAACGGCTGGAATCACCACTGCAGCCAGCCCAAGATGGAAGGGCTGGAATCGCCCACCACAGCCAGCCCACGATGGAACGGCTGGAATCACCACTGCAGCCAGCCCAAGATGGAACGGCTGGAATCGCCCACCACAGCCAGCCCAAGATGGAACGGCTGGAATCGCCCACCACAGCCAGCCCACGATGGAACGGCTGGAATCACCACTGCAGCCAGCCCACTATGGAACAGCTGGAATCGCCCACCACAGCCAGCCCACGATGGAACGGCTGGAATCACCACTGCAGCCAGCCCAAGATGGAACAGCTGGAATCGCCCACCACAGCCAGCCCACGATGGAACGGCTGGAATCACCCACCACAGCCAGCCCACGATGGAACGGCTGGAATCACCACTGCAGCCAGCCCACGATGGAACGGCTGGAATCGCCCACTGCAGCCAGCCCAAGATGGAAGGGCTGGAATCACCCATCACAGCCAGCCCACGATGGAACGGCTGGAATCACCCACCACAGCCAGCCCACTATGGAACAGCTGGAATCGCCCACCACAGCCAGCCCACGATGGAACGGCTGGAATCGCCCACTGCAGCCAGCCCAAGATGGAAGGGCTGGAATCACCCATCACAGCCAGCCCACGAGGGAATGGCTGGAATCACCCACTGCAGACAGCCCACGAGGGAACAGCTGGAATCACCCACTGCAGACAGCCCATGAGGGAACGGCAGGAATCACCCACTGCAGCCAGCCCATGAGGGAACAGCTGGAATCCCCCACCACAGCCAGCTCATGAGGGAACAGCTGGAATCACCCACTGCAGATAGCCCACGATCCAACGGCTGGAATCACCAATGCAGCCAGCCCATGAGGGAACAGCTGGAATCACCCACCACAGCCAGCCCACGATGGAACGGCTGGAATCACCACTACAGCCAGCCCACAATGGAATGGGTGGAATCACCCACTGCAGCCAGCCCACGAGGGAACAGCTGGAATCACCACTGCAGCCAGCCCACTATGGAATGGCTGGAATCACCCACCACAGCCAGCCCACGGAGCAGACTGCCTCAGGCGCTGGTCACATGCAGGATGCCACCAGGGGTTCAGAGTGTCACTTCACCCGTTTGCAGCCACTGCTAAGAGACGAGGGTCTGACCCTGTAAACAGAACCAAATAGCAACACAGCTTTTGTTTCCTTACTCAAGTTTAACATTCAATTTGTTTGCTAAAAATAATCAGACAGTAAATTCAAATCTGCTTTCATTAGAGCAATTTTACATTAATTAAATCATTTCACATGACTGATTTATCTGCAACAAACAAGTCATTTTATTGTCAGTGTACGAGCATTTATCATAGCCCTTGTTTCACTATGCACAGAGGTTAACAACGTTGGAATACATATTGCACTTGTAAAAGAGATAATATACCTAATCCTCATGGGAACAGGTGATTAGAGAACCATGCAGACTAGGACCAAGGTCAGTACTTGGGGCTTGTCCAGGTTTTTGCTGAGACACCTTCTAAAGCACTTTGCTGATAGAAGAGAACTCTTCTGAAGTGCAGATAAGCCAGAGAAACAGGGAAGAAAATTCAGTGCATTCTTTTTGGACACAGTCTTCTCTTAGACACAGACACAAAACAATAGAGAGCCAGCCTGTACAAGCAGGAGTCTGGCATTTGTTCTGCTTTCTGTGCCTCCAACAAAAACACAACAGGCAATATTTAACAGCAGCATTTATACCTGTGCTCAGTTTGGTCTTCAGTTCAAGACTGCTAGTGGGGCAGAACATTTTCAAAGGCAGAAGCCTTCATACAGGTGAGGGGGGAAGGACTCAAACAATTTTACAAAAACTAGATTCAGAACATCAAGTCTCCCATCCCCCATCCAGTTTATGCACAAATTTAGATTTAATTTCAAAATATATAGTGATGCAAAATCAAATCTAACATCAAGGCCAGTTCTTTCTGGTATTTTTTTCTCTTTTTTTGCCTTATAATGCAGTTCAAGCCATAAATTCTTTTTCTTTTAGTTTGAGAGTGCTGGTAGCTTAGAAGTTTTCAGACGAAGACAAAAAAACCCCCAAACAAACCAAAACACCCAACCAAATGAAAAAGAGTGGTTCTGATTCCAAGAAAAAAAATCCAGAACATTTTGTTTCTTGGCTTCTGTTATTTGGGGTGCACATTTTGGGTGAATGTCTGGATTTCCCATTCCTGCCAACACACTACATTTAGGCCTCCTGCAAACTACTGAGGTAAAGATTTTTCAAAAATTTTGTGGCCTAGCCCTTTTTGCAGTATTCTTCAAAGTGAAATTGTGCTCCTGATTCCTTTATGATCCTCTGAAAATCTCAGGCCAGGGTTATTTGGATCCCAAGTGCCTCCTCTGGGGAAGATAATGCAGCATACATACCCTACACGGCTGGTGGAAAGGCTAATAGAAGTGCAGCACATTGAATAAGAAGTCTGATGGAAATTCAAACCAGCATTATCTTTTAGCAGGGGTACAAAACATTTCTCCATATGCCCATAAAAAGCAGGACTTTACTTCCAAGAATTTACATGAAGTTAATGGAATTGACAGATATATGCAATTTAACTTGAATAAGGGCATCAATAGCTCAGTAAATTCTATGAAACTGCATCTGGATGAGAAAACAGAACTAGAAATTCTGCAAAGTGGCCTTACATTGGAAAACCTCTTCCTTCCCCCAAAGGTTTTGGTGCCTGGTCCAAGTCTGCTGTCACCAGAGCTGTTTTTGCCACTTCCTTGGAGACTATATTTGTCCCTTTATTTCTACTGAAGACATGTCTATCTTTAGAGCTGTGCTCGGATTTCTCATGCCAGGATAATGAGAGGTGGCTGTGTCACATACATTGTGGAATTCAACACTTCTCTCAACCTGCTGGCCAGAGCAGCTTTTCACAACACATGCTCACCCTCTCTGAGCATGTGGCTGTGCCATCATCATTAGTCAGAACTAGAATGGTTGCTAAATACATACTGTGTCATAAACAAAATGGGATTTAAGATTAAAAGCTGTGCACAAAGTACCCAGAATTAACACCCAGGGCGATGGGGGCAATCAGTCTGAGGGTTTTGTCTGGATCTAGGCTCATCATCCAACAAGGATATTTTTGTCTTGCTCCCTGGTAATAGAGAAATTAAGATGCTGTAAGCACAAACAAAACAAGGAACTCGCCATGAAAAGCTGTCTGTTCTTTCTACCTCTCCTTACATTTTGCAGAGAAGCAGCATCTGAGATAATCTATTCCATGTCCAGAGGAAAAAAGTAACATGGGATTGTCATTGCTGATTTTTCATCTTTTCTGGATATAAACTGTAGAGCCACTAAATTGCATTTTGTACAGCTATACAATGAATCAACAAGAGACCACATATGTGACAGTCTAAAAAAAAAAAAACTTAAGTAGAAAATACCTTATTTCAAACTTGTGAAGAATTCCAGTGAAGAAATGTTCAGAAGTTTCCATGCTAAAAAGACATTTTCTTCAGCTGCTTTAATGGGAGGTTGTCCATTTGGTAGTCAGAAGTTAATATCTGCTTCTAATCACTTGTTACTCTACTAATGCTGAGTTGCTGGGTCACAGTCTCTGTGAGAAAAATAGACCTGATTGCAGCAAAGGACAAGAGAACTTGAAAATGTTCAGGCATAGTTATAATTGAGTAGAACAGTTATACAGCAATTGAGTTTCACTCTCAATTAAAAATTTCTCATTTATCTTACCATGTTTGTGAAAGTTGAAGCATTTTACAATATTTACAGGATGCAAATTTTCAGGTTTTGGAATGAGGTCTTTGTTTATATCTAGAGGGAAACGACCACAAACCTGAATTCTTCCATCTGAGGGCAAAATTTTCCTTTAATTAAAAAACTTTCCTTAATTTCAAATAAGACCATTTTAAAAATATTCATCTCCTTTCATGGATCAAAGTCACACATTAGAAACCTAGGAGGCAGTTGCAATACAGAATTGAGCTTCTTAGGTTGCTTCCATTCATGGCAGGAAAACCAAAAGCAGAGCAGGGGGAAGGAGGGAGTTACCCTGCTGGATCTCTGGAAGGTGTTCCCTGAGGCTCACTTATAGCAACAGAGGAAGGACTCATCATGTTACTCTTAATGAACTCCTAATGAAGATGCACACCTTGTACTGAAATCTCTGGAAAACTAAAAACATTTCATAAACTGTCTTCCTATGGTCACTCAATAAACAGGGGGAAATAGAGGCATTAGGGAAGGACAGTGATTAGTATGGGGTAGGCTATAGAAATAAAAATGCATAAATGAGCTGGTGCAAATGCCATATACAAACAGCTGTTCTTAATGATAATGCCTATTTTCTTCACACGCTTGCAAAAAAGCCTGAGCAGCAGTCAGCACCCTCAGAAAGCATTTCTGCCCTAAGCAAGAGGAAAGAAGAATTAGTGGAAAACCAGGAGTGTTGCTGTAACAGCACTGAGCAATCCTGAGCATTGCACTTCTGAAATCCCAAGTTTCCAGGCCATCTAGTAGTAAGTAACCTGCCAAGGCTGCTTCCCACAGCACGGCCATCAAGCGTGAACTCATGAAACTTTGCCAGCAAGTACATCACTCCCAAAACCACACATGAGCAAGCAGGGACACAACGGATGGCAGGCTGGGCAGGAGGGATAAGGGTGTGCTGTCAGGCTGACAGCTAAGCTCAAACAAGCAACCATGGATCCTGGAACACAATTAGGAATTTTCTGTCCCCAGCCAGTAAAACCCCAATGTTCCCCTACCAGGGGAACTGTGCCAGGGCTGCCCTATAGGCCTGTACACACCTGCTTGCCCATCTCTAATACCAGCTTCCATCGCTGCTCCAGCACAATAACCCCCACCATGAGGCCTGCTGGCATAATTGCAACTCTCTCTCCTTTTCCTAGGCAAAGTTCTGGTTCACTGTGCAATGGGAATCAGTCGGTCTGCAACTCTGGTCCTGGCTTTCCTAATGATCTGTGAAGGTCTGTCCCTCACCGCCGCCATTCAGACTGTGCGCTCCCACAGAGGCATCTGCCCCAACTCCGGCTTCCTCCAGCAGCTTCGGGACTTGGACCTCCGGTTAGGGAAGGGCTCAGGCAGAGGAGCAGAGGCCTGCTAGTGCCAAGAAGCAGCTTTGTCTCCTGGCACCAGCCCAAGAGATGCTGCCCTCTCTGAAGAGTGCAAGGATGCTGTCAGGACTGCTCTGTAGTTGCATGGAGAAACTCTGGGGAAAGGTCGAGCATGAGCAAACTCTTAGGAACTGTCAGGCATATATTTTTTGCATAAGCACACTAATTGGAAAGCAAATGGAATAAAGAAAGATTCAAGCTGGCAGTTTTGCTCACCTGGGCCTGTTTATTTAACTACCTGTTGGGCAGGGCACAGGGAGCAGCTCAGTTTTCATATAGAATTAAAAGTCAGCACAGTCGACTTGAAAAAATACTTCTTACTTGCTTATAATTGCATTTATTTGGCAAGAGGGAAAATGACTAAACTAGTAAAATAAAAGGAAAGCATAAGGCTTTTAAGCAAATCTTTAACATTTCACATCCAGCTGGCTTAGGGTGAGACTGCAGGTTTTGCAAGCTGACATGGTCCTTTGGTCTGACGTGGTGACACTAGTCAGGATCCAATTCAGACCATGGGCTCCCTCTGCTACAAAACACAGAGGCTTTTGCTGGACCTTCACAAGTCCTTTTTGCTTCAAATCTGTGGCAAATACTCAGAACTTAGGGACCATGAAGTCCTCAGGAGCCAGCTCGAGCTCTGAAGCAGACACTGCACCCTGGGGCCCAGCTGTCGACAGCCTCTCTGCTGGTCAGAGAGGGGAAGGTGTCCCCTTGCATGCATGGAGCAAGGAGCACGCCCAGGGCACACTGCCCACCGGCACACTGCAGGGCAGCACAGTGCCAGACAAATATCCTCCTCTGAGCTTGCAACCCGACACTTGAAATCACATTCCCCAGATTTCCCTGTTTTAATGGAAAGTCAGAATCTAGTGTCGTCATGTCAGAGCAAAAATGAGCAATGCCTCTAACAAATCCAAAGCAGCAGCTCTGCATTTCAATTACTCTTTTACGCCCAATTGGCCACATTTAATCTTGTGAAGAACTCGAAGCAGATATTTGCTTCAGTGCAATTACAGCCACATACAGAACATTGGCAAATGCAAACAATATAGAATTTCCACTTGACGGCAGATTAATTTGGTGTGATGTTTTCCCTCGAGAAGTCTTAAAGGCTCTCAGTTCTGAAAGTACCCTGCAGTTTGTATTTATAGCACCATGGATGTTGAACAGAAAGAGGGAAGCATATACTACTTCTGAACTGAAGTTTCTTTTACCTCCATACATTAAAAATATTAACTGAGCATAGCACACCTTCACTGCATTTCTCATAATGCAATATGGAAACATGATTTCCCTGCAGAGTCTATAGAGGAATTCAGGTAGTATTTCCACTTTCATAAACATATTAAGCAAAGCATAGCAATGCTACAGACTAATTTCCTCTCAGGGAACAAAGGCACAGGTCTTCCCTCCAGAAAGGGTCCCATCCTTTGAGACTGGAGTAAGCAGTCAGAAGCAAGGTCATAGCTAATGATGGAAAAAATCAGGTTATAGTTTTCACAGGCCGCTTATTGCCTGCCACAGCAAGGAGATTAGATTTCAGTACACATGGTGACTGAACCGCTCTTGGGTCTCTTCCACCTTGGTCTGTCTGGGGATTCTTTTTTATTGCAGACCATGCTGAAGCTGTTTTCTGAGTGGTGCTTTCAGTTGCCTTACTAACCACTCCCTTCAAGCCTCTGTAACTCGACCCATGCCAATCCCTATATTAAAGCACACGGGGTGTATGCAACACAACAGTCCAAAATCTCCATGCATTGAGCCCATCAGGACAGGTCATAATTTCCAGTGCATTGCGCATCTGGAAACATATGTGGCTGCAGGGCAGAACTTAAATGAACAACTTGTGAGATTGACTGAGCCTAAAGTTACCCCAGATGAGGCCTGCTGGCCATTGCATGCCTATTTTAGCCAGCCAGGGCAGGCCATAGATTTCCCTGCCACCCATGACTTGCAGCTGGGATCAGTACATCTGTCTGGAGCTACAGTGTGCCAGGTAAGCTAGGGCTCTGGCAGAGCAGGGCTTCTGGCTCTTGTCACCATTACAGGTGTGCAGTAGAAGCTTCCTCTTCAACATGGGGACAAACCCAACCAAACAATAAAAACAAGAGGACCAAAAAACTCAAGACCAAAGAGAATAATCCAATCCCAGGACAAAAAATTCTTTTCTAGATGTGCCTGAGCTATTCTGAGTGCTTTGCATAGCTGTGAAGTATAGACAGTGAGAGGCAGGTCCCCCATCTCCTTCCAGGTTCTCCACCCTTCAGGAGACAATGTTCCTGAGCCCACCATTAGCTCCCTCTCTGTGAGGGTGGCAGCACCATGGAGTGGCCTAGCAGGGGCACAGGGGCAGGGTCTGTATTGATGACAATTGAGTCCTAACCTCTGACCCACATGTCCTGCACACTGAGGTTTATTGTCCCTGTGCTTAGTTAAACAAAAGCCTCTTAAAATTGCAGCTGAAATCAAGGCAGAATGAAAACAATACTGTTGCAGATACATCTTGTGGTATAATTTCAAGACCCAGAGTTGTAAACCACCAGCTCAGCCTGAGAACTGAGGAATAACTTCCTTCCCCCACAACCACCCATGCTAGCATGAGGTGTTCAGTCCTGGCTGCAGCTGCCCATTGCAGTGCTGCCAAGTCAGCTGGAAGGAGCCCCACTCAGCCCTGCAGGTTTGGTACCTCTGTAGCACTTGCCCAGTGCCCTGGTTAAACATTTCCTGCCCAAGCCACATCAGCTGAGGCCACAGGCAGGGTGGACGCAATTGGAACAGCAGAGATGTTAATGGGCAGTGGCAGTGACACTGCTACCATTTCCATGAACACCCTTACCTGGTGCAGAGCAAATGCTCAGGTTTATTTATGAACACCTGCCCATTCTGTCCTTATGAAGGAGAAGCCTTGAGCATTTTGGTGGGGTTGGTATGCCTCCCTCACAAAAACTCTGCCAGGAAGGATGGGTGCCTTAGCCTCCTTTTGCAGACAGGACGCCTGAAGTTTGCCTGAGCTGCAGCAGGATGTTTGGGGAAAAGCACAAGAGGATTGCTCCCCAGCCTCCAGAACTGGCACAAAAGCATGAGAGGAGTTTTCTCACTTGAGGTATCTTGCCTTCACTAACTTTTCCTCTCAGACTTGCAGCAGTGATACAGAGAATATTGCCATGGGCATGTCTGCACTGTGTTATTTATCCTTTGGATTTGTGCTTAGGGTTTTATTTGTAAAAGGAAAATGAGGCCATAAATCTGCTGTGCAAGTGAGCCAAGGGAAGAGAGAACAGAAATTTTCAACAAGTTTCATGCAAAGAGATGGTGCCAAGGACAGGTTTCCCATTGAAAGAAATGCCAGCCAGGATATTGTCCAGGTAGTCACCATGTGTAGTGGTAACAGCCGAGAGTGTCAGCCTTTTTCTTGCAGGTGCATTCGTTCATTCCTCCTTGCACAGGTAGCTTTGGAGTTGCTGCAGCAAGGATGGCTCTCCTATGGGAGCATCTTGATCCATGGCTTTTGCTTTCAGCACACACAGGACTGCTCTTTGGGTACAGCTCCCTAAATAACCCCCCATGGCTGTAAACAAGGGTGGAGGGGAGCAGTGTTGGGCAGACCCCAGTTCTGCATTACACTGCCCTGTTCCAAGTTAGCCCATGGCTCCAATTCCACTTTAACCTTGGCACTGCCCACCAAGCCCAGGCCTGATGCCTGTATAACATTCTCCTGCATTGCCCTGATGCCTAGACCAGATCTGCCCAGCTGCTGCCAGCCCCACCAGAATTGCAAAGCACTGTCAAGCCCACTTGTGAGACTTGATCCTCCTCCCATTGTCTTTTGTCCTGTATTTTTCTGATAACAATGTGATGCGTTACTGTGGCAAGGGGCTTCAAAACAGCTTGTGCTTTGCAAATTTACTTTGTAGTCTAAGGTTCAAAAGTATGTGCGGTTTCTGAAGCCAAGTCAAACAGGAGTCCAGGGCCTATGGGACTTTCAACATTTAAGTTTTCTTTAGGCTACAATTATTTTGCTTAGAACCTAGACCCTTGATCTGTTGCAGGAGGCTGCAGTTTAATAAAGTCAAACAGTTTGCTCTTTGCGATGTATTATTTGCAGTACAAGTATCATTGAGTTACAGTGCTCCCCCTCACCACTGCCTCCTGGAACCTCAACTGTTTATATACAGAAAGCACTCTCAGGAAGCACTCCTAAAAATACCCAGCAATGTTAGCTGAGGAATTGGCTTTGTCTCTCCTCCGCCTGCTTCTGCCTCCATAACATCCTTCCGTCATCTTGATGCTCAACAGCCCCAGCTGTTCAAGCAAACTTTTCCCTGCCTCATTCTCTAAAAATTGTCCTTTTTCTTCCTCCTCTGCCAGTAGCTATTCTCCAACCTGCCTCAGAGCAGCTTCTGTGATATTGCCATATCTTGTCTTATCTAGAGTTTTCTCATTTGATTACTAAATTAAAGTCCCTGACAATTTCTCCAAACTTTTGAGCTCTGCCCACATTTCAAACAATAAGGTGCTGGCAACTGAGGGTGATAACAGTACCTGAAAAAGAATCACATCTTTTACCTTACTTTATAAAGGGGCATCTGAATATTGCAAAACAAGATGCAGTATTCTCCACAGTTTAACTTTTGAAACAACTCTCAGGGAAGTTACTCTGAAGATAAAGGCATATCCCAATGGAAATACCATTTCAAATAAAAATATTTTCAGAATAGTACAAATAGAAAATCTGCACAAATAAGTCCAGTCAGCTGATAAAAACATCAGTTCTTAAACATGAAATTCAAAAGCAAGACTGGGATTCAGCTCACACTTCTGATCTGTCTGTTGCTTAAGGTGTGGGCAGAGCCTCCTCTCACACAAAATGTTACTTCTCAAGGAATAGGGTCTCCAATCGCTGCCAGTCATCGTCATGACCACAAAGATCTTCCAGCACATTATGCAGACATCCAGACAGACCAAGTTCATAGCACTACAAAGGATCTTT